TCAAGATTCCTGTTTCTAACATGGCAAACTTTTTAGTAATGTGTATATATACACACACAAAATCTCTTATTTTTTAGAGATTAATTGTCAAAAAGGCCAGTTAAAAAAATTTACTTTCAGCAGAAAATTATATTGAGATATGCAGACTTTAAAACAGAGTATATTTCCATCTCATAATCCACTCCTTCAGCAAACGTTCATTGAGTGTCCAATGGCAGAGTCTGTGTGAGGCCGAAGGTGGGGTTTTCCGGGAACTCAAAAGCCAGCAGAAAAAAACAGACTTATAAACAACCAACCCTGTGATATTAGAGTAAGTTTCAAAATAAAGGTTTGTAAAAGTTCTAGCAGACAACAATGAGGAGGAATGAGTTTTATGTTAATGTGCCAGTGAAAGCTGCATGCAAGAAGTTGGCATTTAAACTAAGCCCTGCAGCGTGGCTGGAGCCTGCCAGGGACCAGATGGAAAGGAGGAGGGACACTCACCATAATTAGGTTTCACCAAGTACAGGATAAGAAAGAACCAACACGGCAGGTTTCGTTTCATGTTCATGTTGATTGGGTTAACATCTACGGTTTTCTTTCTTGCTCGGTCGAGAAAAAGTTGGTCAGAAAACAAAAACTGAAATCACCCAACTCTAGATAAAAGTACAATTTTAGATCATTTACAGGTGACTGAAAATATAACACTATTAACAAATAATATATTTTGTTTTAAATTAATTCCCTTTCAACATTAAGGAATTAAATGACTAATTCTTTCTCTAGCTCTGAGAAAGAGACATGAATTAGAGAGATAGATACAAAGTAGAAGCCACACAGCATCCAGCACAAATGTCTGATACGGGAAGGCTTGATAAGTACTGCTTAGCGTAAGGCTTGGCATGTAGAAAATGCCCAGTAAGAATTGCTTGAATTGTTTTCTGTTTACATAAATAGATTTTCCTGATTTCTTTATGACTGAATTACATGCAGCTGTATTTAACAAATGAGTCTTTTCTCAATTTCAAATTCTAATTTCAATTCCTGAATCCTACCTAGTAAGTTCTAGAGTAATTGTCAGTATAAGATGTGTGGTGCCTGGCCTTATGCTAGGATTTAAACTTGAGGTCACCATAACACTCAGTCCTGAAACATCTTAATACAACATCATCATTACATTTGGGTCTGTTTCAAAAGGGGAAAATAACATAACATGGTCAGTATTTATCAGAGTCATTTTGCTTTCCATGCATGTTTACATATCAAGCCTCTTTAATTCTGAAAGCTAAATTTCAAGTTCTAATGCTACCTTAAATAATAATGACTTTATTCTCCTCTCAGTGCACGTTGATTGATGTAAATACTGGAAAAGAGCATCTCTTTGCCTGCTGCTGTAAAAACAGTTTTCCATCTCACCTAAGGTTCAAAATACATTACTGAAATAGAAATGGACTTGTTCCCATTACAAACTATTGTTACATTATGAAAAATATAATGATTATACTACATTATTATATTTAAGTATAAAAGCTCTGAATTGCAATCTGTCACTGAGTGGCATGTTTTAAAGGAAGAGTAATATCTCAGGTCTCTCTATAAAGCGTAATGCCTAAAAACAATTTTATCTAACTATGAACAATGAGCAAAAGCACTGTAAAATACATTTTGAGTATGCTATGATGAATAGGAACATAGTACAGAATTAAATTTAGAGCAATTAAGAGTAGATTTCAAAGATATTTTCTCGAATACTTTAGTATAGTCATCATCATTTTTAGTTTGCAATTTTAATGAAAAGAAGCTACATGCACTAACTTTTTTGATGGGTATTATTAAATAAGTGTGCGTTATCCAGCAGCCTGTTTGGTTACACGAAAGGTAAGGATTACCTACAAGTAAACACAAATAGTGTCTTTAATGATATTTCTGTGCTGAAATGAACTTTGATGGTGAGTGTTGTAACGTGCTAAATTCTGAGGTTTCAGTACAACAGAAACCATACTGTATTGAGACATTCCACCTACAGTTTGTGGTCATGAAAGTCTGATTAAAAGTGGTTTTAGGTATATGAAAGTATTTTGGGTCAGTGCCTTTTCTATTGAACCTACTCTGTAGACTACTTCACTAAACAAAATACCAATGTGCAGGGATATTTGCATAGCTAAATTGCATCTAAAAGAAATATTAAAGGACATTTTGTATAAATCTAAATGATTAATGATCATGCTTCCTTTCCCATTCCAAAATGATAGACTTTATTAGCTCCTCCTTAATACTGATAATGACTCATCTGAATGAGCCATAATAAAATATTTTCTAAAATAATAGGATAATCAAATATGAAACTAAAATACTAGCTATATTTTATTAGAAGCACTTCAGTAAGACAATCAATAGACATAAATATCAATAGAAGGTGTGACATTGGCAGTTATTACAAAGAAAAATTGTCCACGTTGAAATGTAAATAACATATTCAAAGAGATATTGACTAGCTATGTGGGCTGTAAATACCTAAATGCTATGTTTTCCAAAGAATGACCCGTGGGGATTTCATAGTTCAGCTTAATCTTTCCACCAGGAATAGTTAGAGCCTCAAATAGCCTTAATCAGTGGACTCTTCAAGCCACCAAGATGAATAGATTTTGTAAGTTCTTCTTTTCCTGTAAGCCATCTCAGAAAAGAATGGGAACTAAGATTTATTGAGTTCCCACTTTAAGTACAATGCTTGATACTGTACATATGTTGTTTTATGTAATCCTCACAACAGCTCTTTAAGAGGAGGTGGTATTTTCATTTTACAGATGAAAAATCAAACTCAAAATCAAACTCAAAGTTAAGTGACTTTCTCGTAACTAGTAAGGGGCAGATTCAGCTTTCAAATCCAGGGACCCATGTTCTTTCCTTTCTACAATGTTGCCTTCAATACAGATATGATAAAACAGTATAATCATTATTAAGTATAGATTTACCTTTTTAAAGTTCTATTTATGAGTTGCTAAAAAATTTATGGGAAAAGCTATGAAATAATTTTATATAATGTACATCAACTTGAAATTTCTAAAAACTTCACATAATACTTTTTCCTACTGAGTTATTTTGTACTAGAAATCTTGACCATGTTCCCATTCCTGTCTGCTGTTCTGGGAGCACAGCAGTGAGCAAGAAAAAAATGGCACATCTCTGTGGACCATGCACTATGGTAGAAGAGACAGACATTAAACAAATGATCACACAAAAATATACAAATAACAAAATTCATCAAGGTCTATTAAGGAAAAATAAAGAGTGATAGGCAAAACAATAAGTATTAACAAAAGTGTGGAGGAATGAGGAAGGCGGAGACCAGGTTGTCTGCCTGCTAGTCCACAGCTCCTGTCAACACATTTCTTTAGGTGTGTGGGACGTGGAAATCTTCAGAGTTCACGCTGAGGTCTCTAGTTTGGATGAGTGAGTTTATGTTGAGATGGGGAGTCCAGGAGGGAGAACAGATTTAAGGGTGAAGATAAAGAGTCGAAGCTTTGGGGGGCTTTGAGATTCCTAGGACATTCAGGTGTACTTTGGACTGGAGGACATCCATTGGGTGTCTGGAGACCAAGGGAAAAAAAAGGGAGTGGGAACCTAGATATGAGAATTACGAATAGTAGATACAACTAAGCTGGCTACTGTTAGATGGGTTAAATATGAAGGTGAGAAAAAAATGTAGATACTAGTCCCCTTTAAAAATAACTAAATCTAATTAGCATTTCCCAGAGTATAAACCTCAAAAATTTAGCTCTGAAGAATGGTAGTAAGTGCTTCTCAAAATTAATAAATAAGCAAATAAATAAACATTCTGTCACCTCTAGGTTTGGGAGGCAGGTGAAACAAATTTTAAAAACGTTATCAGACTTTAATATACCAGTGTGCCTCATATCCCAAATGTATTGGGCCATTGATCTTTTTCTATTAAGGAAATGGTATTCTACAGAAGACCTGATAGGAAACACTGGATCACATAAGGGCTCATAATTAAGAATGTTCATAGGTTTTGGAAGGCAGGCTGGCATTTAACCAAGAGAGGACTGAAATTGGGAATCGTGAAATCTATGTTTGCATTTGGTAGCATTGGCAGGAAGAAAGTATTCGAAGCCAGAGAAAAGGAACTGTTGTAGAGGGCCCATCAGGAGAAAGGCAGAGCGAAGAGGAGGTTTTGGAGATTGGGATGAATTGAGGACGGAATGATTCCAGACAGAGAGATCATTTAGGACAGGAAGCTGATAAGAACATGAATGATAGAGCCGCCTGGGAAATAGACAAGAAAGTGTGAACCTGAGAAACATTTTGAGGGAAAGAATTATGGGGCTTGGTAATAGATTAGATTAAAAGAAGGAAAAGGCAAAGATAACAGTGCAGTTTCTGGCTGGGGAGAGGAAGAAAGATACACAGAAGAATGAAACCAAAACCCTAACAGTATTATGGCTAAAGTACTTCCCAGTTCCCTCCTGGACTTCAGAAAACAGAATACAACACTGTCTGAAAGCATAGTCAGTCATATCCCTTCGAGTGTTTTCAATTAAATGGCATGAGACTAAACAATTTTAAGAATTTTTGAACACAAATATAAAATGCTATGTTCATAATGTCATGTCCAGTTTTCAAGTGGTCAAAAAAAAAATTCCAGACTTAATTATAAAGGAAAGATGTTAGCTATGCTGAAATTAATTTTTTTTAAAAAAAAATCTTACATTGTTCAAAGAAACATGAACGGTACTCTGGTCACCTTCATTAAAATTTCCTACATTAAATCTGGCATTTACAGTTTTACATTCGGCAACAAGCTAGAAATCACACATTTTCAAATTCTGAGCAGAAATTAGTTTTAGATTTATTTGCTTCCTTTCCAAATGTGTTAGTGCCCAATGGCCCTGACAAGGGCACACTTTGTTTTACAAAAAATAAAAAATAAAAAGTACTGTTTAAGAAAAAAAGCATGATTTCTATTTTCTTTACAAAACCTGCCTGCTGCTCTCTTTTTCCAGGTGACATTTACAAAGAGGAAATTTGGGTTGATGAAGAAGGCATATGAGCTGAGCGTGCTGTGTGACTGTGAGATCGCGCTGATCATCTTCAACAGCACCAACAAGCTGTTTCAGTACGCCAGCACCGACATGGACAAGGTGTTGCTCAAGTACACGGAGTACAACGAGCCACACGAAAGCCGGACAAACTCTGACATCGTGGAGGTGAGAGCACATGTGTGGTTGGTGAGCCCCGAAACTTTCGGCAGAGCCACAGGTTGTTTGGACCCCCCCTCCCTCACACACATATGCACAAGTACAACCTTCTTCCTACCTAATATGTTCCTATTCCCACAGGTGTACCCAGGGTTATCACCCCCAACTAATACTCCACCCTTTCTTTTCCCTTCAAAATTCAAGCTAGAATGACACGATGACAGGGGCAATGTAAATCTGGCCCTTGCTAGAAATCAAATCCCTGGCCTCATCCTTCATGAGGCCCTATTGTCCACTGTCATGGCAGGACACCAGATTGGGAACTGTGGCCAGGGGATGGCTCACCACATCTTGGATGACTTCTCGTCACTTATTTTAAGGAGAGACTAGTTTCCCAGCATAGTCAATGAAAAAAAGATTTAAAAAAGAGCTCACCCAAACTTGCCCTTCAGTTTTTACTTTATATTTCCTCTTTCTAAATTTATTCTTCCTAATACATTCTTGCTGAAAGAGTTAAAGACAATTCTTCTCCTAGAAACGATTTTCCTCCAAATTCTATAATTTAATATGGCAACAAAAACTGTTAATACACATGGAATCAGAAATCTGACTAAAATGCATTTCTATATGTTAGCTCAGTGTTTTACCAAGGCTAGATTTAAAACACCTGTTTTATTGTGCCAACTATAAATAAGCACATTAAAACTCAAAAATGTTTTAGACTTGTTAACATGAGTAACATTGCCATACAATTTTACGTGCCCTCGCATGTGTCCTATTTTACCATTATTACCTTACAGTGCCCTCCACAAGCAATGAACACTAAACCAAAAAAGAGGAGGTATAGAGAGGACTCTCCTTATCTGTCGATTTTTCTCACCTGTCTATTCATGGTTTCCTAGTTTGTGACTGCTTTCCCAGAATTAAGAGAAAATTAATAGATGTTTCTAAAGTATGTAGTCAGAGTCAGTTTGCCTGAGTCCAAGTCATTCTTGCCATTTCTTAGACCGGTTCCGTATTATGAAAAAACTCCAGTACTAATCCTGATCAAATTAAGCTGCCTCTCACATCCATCTTCAACTTTATTTATCGTAATTGTCTAAGGCTACTTCTCATTTCTTTGCTTTTATTTGGAAGTTTTGTAAAAAGTATTCTGCTGATCGATTTTTAAAAATTGTTTTGCCTAATAAGATCAAGTAAATGATTTCAGAGAACAAAAGTGAACAATGACTAGACCCAATGTGGTACCTGTTTAAAACACTTTCAGATTTGCATTACTGCATATCAAATGTTTTTCATTGGTGATTTTCTGTACTTGCCTCAATCTAGAAATTTTAGATTATTTATAAAACTTACCTACTGTGTATTTCAGACAGTATTTTATTCACATGCACATATAAATGTGAAAATATATAAAGAGACATGAACAGCACTAGTCAGTTTTGAAATCTCATAGGTGCTTTTGTGTCTGTGTGTCTGTCTACTCGAGCTCATATATATTTAACATAAGTTCCAAACACATGAGACCTCTACACTCAAAAGTCCATCTCATTACCAACATCATTACAACCAACATTTCAGGGTAACAAAATAATGTGATTTGGAATTTCTCATTAGACTTGAACTGTTCCAGTCTTTAACACAACGTGAAATGAAGTAGAACCATATTAAACTAGTCGAAAATTGGTTGACTTTTAAAATTTGCTTTGTTAAAGGAGTTTAAAATCTAGAAAATTCATCTGCTGAGGGGTTCGCTCAACATCCTAGATGATTTAAAGACAACTTAACACTTCACATACTCTAAAGACTTTCATATCCTCGGACAGATGGGTATCCGGACCAGGCGTCTTCCCAGGCCGTGAGAAGAGCTCTGGGTGGGAAGTCAGAAGGCTTGCATTTGAACCTTTGTCTCGCACAGTCTTACCATGTGACAAGTTAGCTACTTCTCACCTAAAAAATAAAGGTCATTGAGTTTGAAAGTCCTTCATGACATAATTCTTTAAAAAGCAATACTTTTAAAAGAGATTAAGAAACAGCTCTGTTATCTTGCAGTTAGTATATGAAAGCGCTGAAGCTCTCAAAAAGACATTAGGGGATTCCTAGGCTAAATGTAAAGATTCCAGGGCTTGATCCTTTGGCTGAAAATAACATGTAAGTCTTTTCAGCTCCACTACATGAATCATACATTCTTCACCCACTTGCCTTTTCTGCACTGTAACAATAACAGAGATGATGGAGAAAGAAGTGAAGTGGGACACTCTAAGCTCAATAAAATTTACATTACCTCCACGTAGAGCCTTTTTGAAAGCGCAGTTCATTGAAATCAGTATGCTTGAGATTCTGGGTGGAGAAGGGGGGACCTGAGTGGGAATCTGCATTTATAACAAGTTTTTCAATAATGTTTTTAATTTAATTTTTGCCCTCACCATTTATCCCCCTGTACCATCTTCCGCCTCCGTACACACCCCACCCCACCCCAGTGTTACCACACTGTCATTTGTGTCCATGAGTTCTGCGCACTGAGTTTGAAAACCTGTGCAACCCTGAGACATAAATTGTGTTGAATGCTAGAGTATTACTCTGTGATACATCAGGGACTTGAATCTCTTTCTAGAATGGAGCTAACATGAAGTTGAGAGTTAAGGCAGTTTACTACTCCTGAGTATAATTTTAAATACTATTTATTTTAATTTAATGGAATACATTTAACTGAGTAAGTTTAATGAGGAGCATACTATGTTTCAGGAAGGGTCATTAGTTATATATATCCCATTTGGACCATTACCCCTCTCCCTTAACCCTCTGAAAACAGTTTACTCACAAAAATAAAAGATTGGCAAGGAAAGAGAAATAATACGATTCCAGACATTTAGACTGAAATATAAATTTCTGGGCCATACCAGAGAGCAGTGTATCAGGGTCATAGGAAATTGTACAGTGCGTGGGTGTTGAAAAAGATTCCTTCTTATAACAAAAAAGCTGTGCGTAATTATCATGTCTTAGCTTGATAATTAGCACTGCTGTTACAATGGCACAAAGACTTACAGAGCCTTAACAGACCGACTGAGAGAGTTCTTTTTTTATTATCATATTACAATGCAGCTTGAATATCTGTTTAGATACAATATATAAATATGCCAGATTTAGTAAATGGGTTAAATTTTTAATCCATTGATTTATAAAATACGAAACAGTTATTGTATTAAAAGCGTTTCCTTTGAAGAAAGTCTATTTTATTTAAATCTGTGACAAATATGCTGTGTATTTACCCAAAATGCTAGTGTATGAGACCATTGAAATTCAAAAGGGACTCTGATAGTATTAAGGAGCTGCCCCTTCATGCCTTCTGTCTGGCTCCGCTCCTGGTTTTCTTATCTGCTTTTCCACCCTCACAGTTGATGTTGGGTTCTGCTGCTGAAAGAAGATGTATTGTTGAGCACTTGAGGATGACCTAAGAACTCAGGTTCCACAGGACATGCTTCCAGGCCATTCCTTCACTTAGCAACAATTTAGCAAGCGCCAGCAAAAGACAGGCATCCTTGTTAAGGATGTGAAACATATATAAAAATCAACTTAGGAACAAGTAGAGGGCAAAGGAGCAATAACTTCATTAACGTAGTACAAGCTACTAAAAGAAAGGTATAAGCTAAACAATTTATCAGAACTTTTATTCAACTAGGGCAATGATCGCCAGATCAGTCAAGGTAATCCTTGGAGTCACACAAGTCCAACATACGTTACTCTATATCCAGCAAATGTTTTCTAACCACAAAACCCATATGGGAGTGTCACCTGGCACCCTCTCACTCTTCAGTGATTCAGTGATTCTGCTGAGCTGCTCATCCAGTCTGGGCCAGCAGTCAAGTGACTAAGTGTGGAAGGGGAGTAAATTAAGAGGTCCTCTGCTACTCCCTGGGAAATCAAAAAGGCAGATGTAACTCTTGTAGAAGAAACCTTTGGTTCACAACTGTCTCAGTAGAGGATTACTGGCTTGCTTTTCTTTTTCTTTTTAATTCAAGAATAATCAAGGAGAGTGTGGGGTTTGGAGAGGAAAGTAAGAGATGATATTTACATGGAATTTTATTTTCTGTCATCCGAATCCTATTTAAACTTAAAGATTTCTGAGGACAGTTGCTTCAGCACGATATTTTCTTGCACAGTAATATTTAAGGACTGAATTGGGACTGGAAAGGCCTTAAGTTAGCTTATAAATTTTATTGTTTCACAATGCCACTGGAGGTTATCAGTAAGCGAACTACATAGTTTGATGAAAATTGATTAGTGCAAAATTGAGACTTAAAGATAAATATAAAAACATTGATTTGTGCAATTTTTGCTGAAAAGCAAAGGCAGCAAATGGTGGAATTGAACTTCTTCACAAATTCTATATTGTAAAGCATGGGAATAGATGTAAAATATGAAAATGTATCTAACTTGAGCTTTCATTATATCTAAACCAATTAATTAGGTTTCAAGTTTATATTGATAAAAATAAAGATATGTAAAATTATTGTTATGTGTGCTTTGGAGATGGATGTTACAGATACTTTTCTTAAAGAGAAGGCACATTCACTTACTTGTTTGGTCATCTGTTGAATTTTCATTCTTTAATGTGCTCATTCACCGAACAGATTGGCTGGATTCTTACCATGTGCTGCGTGCCCTGGAATGCCTGGAGATATAAACCTAAACACGGCCCCTCAAGGACTCTTGGTCCTTAAGATTGCTCACGAGGCCATGCAGAAGCTGGCCCTGTATTTCTCTTCCTCCCCAGCCTCACCTTTTGCTGCTTCCCTCCAGTGAACTCCTCTCACCGCCCCCTTGCTATACCCAAGCCACCTAAACACGTTTATTGCCCTCTGCTTCTCTCAAGGCAATTTGTTTTGTCTTGAACATTTCTTACTAGGCCTTTCTTGGCTTTTCTTTTTCTCCCTTTCAAATCATTTATACTTTTAGATAACCATCCTTGAACTGCTCACTAACTTGTGTTAGATCCTTTTCTTACATTA